GAAAAAGTTATTATCGAAAAACCAGTATGTTTGTACCGCCAGTTTATTTATATTACTACATATAGCCAACAGCAGTTATCTGTGCAATTGTTATATCTAGGATAGAAATAAAATACGTATGTACATTTTGTTACTAGGGTGTTTCATTACTTACCAAAATAAAGCATGAAATGTAGTCAGCATTTTATATCATACAGATAAATATATATATAGATATAATTGATGCACATACGTCAATACATATACAAGGGTATTAATGTGTGTATAGTTATTCATGTGTAGATATGTATAACTAAATATTAAGTAAAATATCGACTACTCGTCGCTAGTAGCTTTTATCTCTCATATGAATATTTTTATTATAAGAGAGTCAGATACAGAAATATATAGGTATATATATAAATATCGCATATAGATATCTTCACAGCTAATCTTATATGTATTTCAGGTTATATACATGTTTACTTCGTTAACATATAAATAAATACAGATATAAAAACGTCTCATCCATATCATGTCAACATACTGAACACAAATCATTTAATAAAGGAAAACAATAAAAATAAAATTAGAGAGAGATCAGACATTATTGAAGGAATTTATTTCTTTTAAATAATAGCAGTGATATATATTCTCTAACACCGTTATAGGTCCAGATAGAGACTTGTAGTAATTTTGTTTTATTTTCCACAGACTAAATGTTACTAATGGTCCGTAAAATTCCAAGGAGTCTACTTAAAGTGGTTGAGTGAGAGTTAAGTAGGGCGGTCTAGGGTGTTCCAATCATACAAACAACGTAAAATCATGTTGAAGAATATAAAATATGTTTTTTTTAAAGAATTCTTATACAGAAAGAAATCGATACAAATTAAACAGAAATATATTAGTAGCATGTGTTGGTAAGATGAGCAAGTATATTTGTAATGATCAAGATTAAATATTGTATAAATGCTGAATTTTGCCTTTATTTAATGGATTATATATCATGTTATAAAGAATTAAAGGGTATAAAGGGACTATCCGCGTCTTTTAAAACTATCATAAACGTTATTCAACAAGATGCACTTAAATCATAATAGGTTTAAGTGTATTTAAATCTTACCTGAACGAGGTACATTTGATATATTTGTGACAGCAAATACTCTTGATATATGCAATTTTAAATCAGAAATACAGATTATGAAACGCACTTTTATATTATTTTAATCAAAATGAGAAAGACATCTGTGGCATTCATATTTCTTTTCAAGAAATCAAATCCAATAATATTGTCCATATAAATATATTTAATCTATAACGATGCCGAATCGTACTCGTTGAAAAGGATACTTCAAAGGCGGTTAGTAATGATGATTAAAACAAGCGGATTATGCAATTGTCCATATGAGCTGTATTTTGTTTCAATCAGAATAATGAGGTATTTTGTCATGTGCACTGAAATGCACATGAGGTAAGAGTAATTTAGAATCAATAAAAAATTTAAAACGCAACATAGAAATGAAAATAACATAACATTTAGAAATTTTAATGTAGGTACATTAAGAGAAATGGTATATTCGGATGTAAACAGAATTAAAAAAACAAACAATTAATAAGTGTTTTAATGCTCTTATATATTAGATGTTATCGATAACTTGATTCCTATACCTGAAACTATGTATTAAGATACAAATTCATCATTATCATGTAATAACAAAAACATACATAGTGCTTATGTTTAACGCTTTTATCAATTTCAATTAATAGCGCAACATATAGTATCTTGGACTTCTAATAGCTCATATACCAAAAATAGGTTTAGTAGAAAAAAAAATTAAATGAATTTATGCGAAACTAAATTGAAAATATCGAATAAAAAAAAACACCTAAATTCCATAGCTTCAAATGTGTGTGGTATTTTATTCGAATGTTAATTCTTTCACTTTAAATATATATATTGAGATATTGAAGGCATTTTAAATGATTATCTTCATCGGTGCTATGCTTTCTAACAGGTACACTATAAATCAAACAAAAACTGACATACGAATGTGCTATTTATATCCGAGACCGGTGTCATCGGGATATCCCCAAACTGCATTTCGTACTGCACTGCATTACAATACAGTTATACAGAACGTAGGGGTATGCAGCATCTAGGAGATACATGGGATTGGTTTCGGCTACACAGAAGTGACAGATATCAGACTGAGTGTCAGATAATTGAGACCAAATACATATAGCTGGTATGGCATCGTTCAACGTTTATAAATAGGTAAATATAATGCATCGTACCAATTTCTTGTTTTAAAATACATGTGTATACACATATATTTAAACTCGTATGTTTAGAAGTGGTTTTGAGTGTCCGTACCCTTGTAATTATATTCTCAGAATTTTACATATTTTAGCATAAACATGCATGTTATTTACGCTAAATTGAATACATACTGGGCATTTCTACTCTGTGTTTGTGGTGAATACTGCAACAACTGTGTCCGTATATGTATTCAAACACGTGTATGTGTTATCATGTATCTTTACACAAAAACTGATGCATGCACTGGCATGTACACGTATGATTTTATCTCTAACATACAGTGCATATACGTATTTCTACATATCTCATTAACATATCTGCGTGCGTTTTGTCTCCAGTACAACTCACATAGTACAGTTTTGTCTGCTGATAATAAACTTTTGTTTGTGAATCTGTTACTTTGTGACTCACATTTCTTGCAAATCACCAGCATACCTGTGTGAAGCAAATCAAAATGTTTCTGTTTTTTTTTTATTACAACAGGTGAATCCTTTAGATATAATTTCAATCGTCAGTTTTGACAACTATATGGAGAACTTGGAATTAATACAAAATATTTGAAGTGTTGACACAACTCAGATAAAACACACGATTTTGATAAATATTCAGTTACAGATATATATGCATATGTATGTATGAATCATTTAAAATTAAGTAGTTGCTTTACTAGGTTTGTTCATAACCATATATACTCTGAATTTAGATCATTGTTTATTGCAAAAAAAACGAATTTTACAAATATATATGTATATATATCAAACAAATGATGCATTAAATATCATGCTAAATCTTCAAATGTTGTGATTAATGACCTACAATATTTAAGCATTGATTTATCAATTTTGGAATGCTTACATAAACAACTTTTGCTTAACAAACCAATTAACAATTATACTTTAACTGTATTTTAAGGTGAGAATTACAGGCTAATGATGTGTTTAGATATGAGCAAGACAGCCGTGTTTATTCATTTTTATGTAAATTTGCAGTTAGATCAAATGATATTTGAAAGCTTTTTGCAATTCCTTAATTGTTATTATGTGGGGGCTAATCGGTTGAGTCCTTCATCTTGATAATTCTAAATAAAGCCTCCAAATTTGACTGTTACGTTATAATGCTAGTTTTTTTCATTCAAAGTGTATACCTTACACTAATGTTCATATTATAAAATACGTTGTTCAATATGAATAGATTTTCTTCATTGTCAAAAACTTGCCCTAAGAAGTTGTATAAGGGTATATAAGTTGGAAACGTCTGGAAGCTGCTACACAAGGTTATATGTTTAACGTTTTGTTTTATTTTAAATCAAATTTGTCATCAAATGGTGTTATATATTAAAACTACATCTTTTTTACATTCCAAATGGATTTCTAGCATTTTTGAGTTAAGCTGATCCAAATACACAATCTGTATGCGACCTAAACTCTCGATGTTAAAGGAATTCATATTTATATTGATGTCATTGTGTTCTACATAATTAATCCGTTAGTACGAGTGTTTTAATATTCAATCAAGAATTAAAAATATCAAGTGTCGACGATTTGTAATCTACTTTAGCCATCAATATATTTACCATACCCATAATAGTTATGCATAGCCCCCATTTTAAAAATGAATATGTTAGGTAAAATTTTACATGCCTTAAAATTGCCATTTTTGTATCACAAAAAAATAAAATACTAATTACATACGGTAGATATTACTTTTTTTACCATCCATATACTTACATACACACAAAGCAAGACTATATAAAATTATATTCAGAAAGAACTACTATGTTTTCTATATGGGATCCTATGCAATGGCATGCATGAAAAATGGTTAAAATACATGTTTAACTTTAAACCACAAAATATGTCAAATAAGCATTATTTGTCATAGTAAGATGATATAAGCCAAACTATTATACTTGTTTCGCAGTTATGTATCTCCATCTGTTCAGCGAAGTTTTGTATATTCCATATATTATTTCTTCCGTGTATCTGGATTACATTGTTTTTGCACATGTCCTTTGTACGTGATCGGATCAGTGTTAATATTAATATTTTTGTCATTCATTTTTAATATAAATATCAGACAACCCACTTTTGTATAGCTGCATTCTTAGTCCTTCTGAACGGGTTCTTTGTATTTTGGTCAAATCATTTTCTAAATACTGTTGCAAAACATTCAAAATATTATATTTCCTATAAATACCTCAGTTACAACTTAGTACAATGACAGTTATACGAATGTATAACCTGATTATTTACACTAAAGTGTCGATCTACGTTGTTGAAGTTGGTTTATGCTGACATTACAATTAATTATCTATTTAGGTTAAACAATAACCAAACATAATTTTCATTTTTTCTGTAGTTTTCAAATTATTCATTGTGCTATTTTAATATTCAAAAAATATAAATTTAATTCCTTTTCCAAAGTTTTATAAATTTCCATATTGTTTATACTTTATCATTTTCTCTTCTTAATTTCAAAGGAAATTTTGATTGGAAGTATCAAAGGGGACATTGTATTTAGATGAAACTGTACCAAGCCGTGTTTTCATTTTTGTATTTTCTTTGTTTGAATTCCTTACGAATGACAAAACTGAACATAGTCTTCCTCTTTAGCCTGAATTTGATGTGCTATGTTTGTTTTTGAAAAAAAAAAATCCCAAATTATTTTCACTATATTAGTCACTTTTGTTTCAAAATTACAGTAACTACATGGCCTTGAGGTTGAATTTGAGTTATTCGAGGTCAAAGGTGAACCTGAATGGAAGCTGTGCAGGGTTCGATACGAAAGGCACCCCAGACAAGACTAAGTCCTCGCGCTTGGCGCGCGCGCCCAGCTCGTGAAGCTAGGCATATTACCACAGTAGTAGTTAGGCTAGAACGAGGAGAAGATCTTCGAATGCTAGAGGCGGACGTAGCTATGCAAGAACAAGGACTAAAGAAGAAACCAAGACTGAATTCGAGCGAACAAAAGGTAATGCATTGTTTCTTCTTTTAGTAATTTCAAAGAAATCCCAAATGCTGAACAATTTTTGGAATTGGCGTACCGGCATTTTGCCATCATTCTTTTGCATCCTCGTCGTACTGAGTCTACTCGATATACACAAGCTTATTTATATGTATGCAATGCCTTTACAAAATCAGCGCAAGGCAAATCTGAACATGTATGGTTCAAAGCCCGTTTCTGTAGACTAGAAGAGTACAATTTGATTCGTTTATTAAAATAATTGTTATTGTGAAGAAATACACGTGTATTTGGAGATCAGTTTTGGCATAAATTTAGGAAATCTAACAGAACGAAGAACACGCCTAATTTATTATGCATTACGCTTTGTGATTGGCTATAGATTGAACCTTTCTTCTTGCCGACGTCAGTGGAATAATTTGACCTTATCAACAATGACAAAATGAAAATCAAACAAGTCGTTTTTTAAAACAATTCCGTTCTTGTGACGTCGAATAAGTCTGGGTACTGGCTGATTGGCTCTGAAGCTATTTTGATGTTAGCATCATCAACAGTTATGAAACAATACACCGCCGTCGTCTAGGTGCTGTCAATGTTCGTCTGACAGCTTAACGCTTACACAAATTCTGTATCCTTGTCGGCAAGGCCTTGGTATTCTAGATATCTAATATCATTCAAATAGGAAATATCAACTTTAAATGACAGTCGAAAAAAAAATATAAAGATTTCGATAAGAAAAGAAAAAGCATGATTTATATTTTTTGGTTGGTATGCTATATAGCGAACGAATTATGTACGTTAGCATGATAAAAATAGGACTCAGACGACTTGGTCACGTGCCCACTGTCTGGATACACTATGTCGTCTGCAAAACTGATGATCAATTTTAACAGACATTTTAACTTTTGCATGTCATAACGCTAAGTCGGCTTTCCCTCACACCTGCCTAAGACACACCGATCACGTACGACTGTCCTACCACGTCCGACAGTCATCAAGACATGCACACGACAGCGCGATCAAGCGTAACGTTACCACACTAAGATGTAAAACGTACAATGGTCTGTCTAAACCCAATGTTGTGCTTGTTTAGTAAGATATAAGCATAATTTATGATGAGCCAAATCATATCTTGTCTCCCCCCATATTATGTACAGTCACCTTTCTCACCTACCCTCTACATTATTAGTCGTGTAGTACAAATCCTTTACGAATATAACCACACAATCACATAGAAATATCCTCCCCACCGTTCACTGGTCACAGTTACGCAATGTCGTTCTGCACAGCAGTCTGCACACTGCACAATCTGCTGCATATCCTATGCACAATTTCTGGTGAGGTGTACACAAACGCTTGTGTTGATGCACTAATGCAAATTGCGAGTGCTAATCGCAAGCAAGGTCAAGTACGGGAAGAAAATCTAAACAAAAAACCATGGATATAACATCTTATATTTGTCGTGTGTAATGAATTGATGGATTGTAGGAGCCACCCATGGGATTTATGGATGTCGATAATATATCGAATATATACTGTAATCGTGGATATATTAGTTATGACCTAGATGTTTGCACAATGTGCATATTGAGTGCAGACCGGTGTGTTTGTGTGGAGTCGACATGGAGTGTTACATCAGTGCAGTGGAAACACTGTACAGCCCACATTCGTCCTTATGTGCATGATGGCTGCACCGTCTAGACAGTGGGATAAAGTGCATAGTGAGAACGAAGTGTAGATATCAGGGATGTCTCTTATACATTAGCCGCATAGAAATGTGTTGTATTCGTTGATGTGATATTGACTGACACATAGTAGTTCACTGTTCTACCTTCTGTAGACATATTTATTATTTACACCACATAGGTGATGTATTTGTTCACACTAATCTATCTGAGTAGGGAGTTCTTGGATCCTTTTTATGTATTTATAAATCTAGTACTGCAGTTGTATTTTGGAGTTCACGTTATGTCAACTCCTTGTTTTCAAAGGACTATGATTATTATTTCGTATATCAAATTACATAGATGAACAGAGGTTATGCTCTATCTTGTTTGATTGACTTTATAACACTTCTTATTTTCATGCCCGGTAATAGAGACTTACAAATAATTTTATAACGCAAATCCTCAAGTTTTGGACATGTGTCAGTATTGTATACTTCACTCATACCCCAACGATATTATTCTTTCTATTAGATTTGATAGTGATTTGTGTGCAGCTTAGGTTCTGCTATATGTATAGAGCTTTAAACACACAAGCTGGTTAACCATTATTTAAAAAAAATGTTTACTTGAGGTTTGAACTAGCAGTGCTGTTTATTTTGACAGCAACGATTATAAACATACATGGATAATATCATAGTATAATTAATTATATCATACATTTAAAACTAGGTTGGATTTCTGCTGTTCATATGATTAAGAATGAAACTAGGGGTCAGCTTTATCATCTGTTCCTGTATAATTTGTGACTTAATATCAAGGGTGAGTAATACATTGATAAAACCACTTTATTATCCCTTAATGTACCTTTATCTATGAGGTGTATTTCACCTCTCAACAGTAACTAATAACACATAATTAGTATGAAACCCGTATCTACCATAGCTTTCAGAAGGATTTTTCCTATAAATATCACATGTAAGAGCCATATCTTCGCTACAAATGGATATCGACGTTGGCTAACATTAATTAATGTCTCAACTGACAAATACATTTTAGTTATGTTTCTTTTATAAAAACCTTGAACAAGGTTTATCTTCTATAGCTATTTACATTTACTAAACGTTCTATGGTGTTATTATTGAACCCTCATCATATTTTTTACACTCGCACAGTCATAATTATATATTAATACACATTATTACAACATTGCTGGTTAAACTAATAATTCAAAAGTGTATTTAGAGTATTAATTCCCTCGGGTAGGGTATACAGTGAGATTGGGAACCCTTCTAGTCGCTAGACGTGTTTTGCGTTATTCATTTTACCCATGCGGCTATCCAATAAGCTATTACTCATGTCCCCCGTACTGGCATACTGTCTGTACACATCCTATGAGCCTGTTGAACTTCAGCCCTACGTGATCTATCTATATAAAACAAATGTGTATATATATACAGACAACTCGAAATCCACGTAATTTAGATAGACGATGTAGACAGTAACATTGAGAGAGACATGTGGTTATAGGTATGACCAGTACGATAACCACAAATTGTTTTGATGATTGAGTTATCAGAACTTGTAGTTGGGTTATACCTGTGAAAGTATCGGTTTAGATAATATGAAAAAATGATATTATTTATAAAGAGAATTTAAAATTACGCGTCTGTTATACCACATAATCTCTAAAATCAATCAAGTACAAAAAATATACAGGTGGTTGTATTTTATGTTTGAATAATAACCGTGTACTGTTCAATGACTCGTAGAAGGTTATCGGTTAAATGACACTATATGTGTCCATTATATGTTTATAACCGAATTGAATAAAATGATATCTGTTATAATTAGTATGCAATATCAACAATATTTTTTTAATTAAAAAACAGTTTGAAGCGCTTTACGCTACCATTATCATAAATATTATGATACTTAATAGTGATCAAAAAGGTTAGGATAGATGTATATATTTTACATGGTTATGATGATGAGGTGAAAAGTGGTGAAAGATACTATTGATAGGTATTGTTTATATATTTTATAATTGTTCTGCCTGTTTCATGAAAAGCTATCAGCCAATATCAGCATATATGTAAGAAGTAAATATTCGGTTACGTTTCATAAGAAGTATGAAGGGTTTAGGGTTACACACACGAGAAAAGGGTAGAAAGGTTCGTTGTATGCAATGTTTGGTATGAGGAATAAGCTTGTGATTTTACCTTTACTTGTTTAGAAATGGAATGCAATTAGGGTAACCTGAACAGACTTACTTACAATGTGCTCCCTTATAAATGTCGATAACGTTACAAATCATATGTTATGCTGGACAATGACACCATATTCACTTAGCTCGACTTTAGTATTTACACCTATTATATTGCTACTAGTGAAGTATCAGGAATTATCAATTTGTAAACAAAAATATTTTTTACTGAAGTGAAGATATCTAAAATATTGTATCCTCACATTTGATGATATAAGGTCCTTTATAGATCTGATATTAACCAATCAGAATGGAATCTTCTATTTACTGCATTCAAATACGTAAAATTTTCTGTTTAGCTGCAGATATTGCTACGATAAAATACTGTGTGTTTTGTTGTTATTGATATAAATACATAATTGATAACGTTTATGTTGAATAAAAGGTATCAGATAATAGCAGAAAACGGTATAATTGATTCGATTAGCCGATTCAAAATGGCTGAAGTCCTTGTTGTTAAGCGAGACGTCATAAGTATATGATAAAATTAGGACGACGTTTGTCTTCGCACTTTAACAAAAAGGTTATACATAGAAATTGTAATGACTTTCCAGTTGAATACCGGTATTCTATCAAACACGTGACATATATGTGGATTCAACGGGAAAGCATTATATGTCCTATATACAGTTGTGTTAAAATAGGTCATAGATACAGGGATCGAAAGTTGCGGATATTTTCGTTAGCGACAGCTATAGTAGCGTGACGTCACTAAATACATAACGATGAACAAAAATTAGGTTTCGATATTTTGAGAGAAAAAAAAGATTTCAGTGTTTATAAAAACTACATTATTGGTTATTACGAAAAAAAATGAGTTGCTTGATATTACGACAGTTGCTACATTTAACACTTATTACACCGAAACACATTTAGATTATAGGGGCTCTGTGACTATTTTGTTTCGTTTTGGTGACCCTCAGGTCGTGTTGAGTTCCTTTTTTTCCACATGTACTGGCGCTGTTCTATCGTAATTAGTTTCCAAATTTTCTCTGAGTTTAAATAAAAATTTGAAGATATAAGCAGGTAAGATCTAGATGTACGTCTGTGTTATATTTATATTATATCACCCACGATGGAATTCTGAAATAAAGTGGATTTTTCATTAATCTACACATTTGAATAGTGTATGGCATATAAGTTAGACGATGGAAGACGAATTAGAGTCCGTAGTTCACCCATGTTAACCGTTTGCGGTTTGTGGTAATACATGTGAGCGTGAAAACGAATATCAAAGTACATAGGCTCAAGACGTTATACCTCTTTATTGCTTTTTTGATTTATTTTACTTAAGGAAGTAACAAACAATAATTGCGGTTGTATACAGTGTATTTATCTAACATGTTATGACATAACAGATCATATGTGGTTCGTAGAATCTGCATAATTGCCTATAAATGTGTTAGCCGATAAACTAATAATATTCAATTGGTAAAATATGTATTCGTTCAATGTCTGCTTCCGCAGTACACTATGGTGCTAATATTTATCATGTTTTGTAGTGTCTATATAACTATTTGTTTATGTATCGTGAATGTTCTGGAAAACAGATTATTTAGTTCATGGTAAGATAATTAGGATCTAAGTTTTAAACTTAAAGTAAGAATCATTTGGAGAAGCATTCCCCTTATCATCTGCCTGGTTTTACTTTCACAAATTAAATTTTAATGCTTTAAAAATAGCTAAATGGTTTTAACAATTATCTTAAATTAACATACGAGCATCTATAGTTTAATTTTAAACTTGCTAATTTTGTATTGTGTTGTATGTTTTTGTATTGTATGCTTTTTATTTTTTCCTGAAAACATATTTTGATAAATATCGAGAAAAACCATCTATATTTTTTGTATAACAAAATTAATGTTATTATCCTTATAAACATATCTGCACACTTGATAGTTATAATGTAACCTTTGACAGCTCTTTCCTTATTTTAGTTTAAAACATAATTCATTCAGATGAAAACATTTTGGTGGATTATACCAAAAAATTTTGGATAGTAATACCGCTGCAATCATAGAATGCTACAAGGACATTTGTTTTTTTAACGATCTTGTGAATATTGTTCTATGAGAATGCTATACAAGCTTGACTGTACAGTGTATTCTGGCCTCGTTAGAACTATCGATTATTATAACGATTGCTGGCAATGCTATGGTATGACGTCATTTTATATTATGATAATGAAAAATAGTATATTTTTCCTGAGATTTAAGTTCCCTTCTTTTATTATATATAGTGTTGAGTCATTTAGTTTACTAAGTCGACATTTTACAAAACGTAGATTAATTAATAAAGTATATATCATGAATTTAAAATATAATTTAATTTGAATATTCTGTTTATAATCCTGAAGGAGGTTTTATAACATTGGATTATTTACCAATATCTTATCTTTTAACAATTATTTCAGCTATTTTAGGGATTGAATTTTATATTTAAGTAAATACGTTATACTTTATCAATTTTAAACATAATTTAAGTCCGATTTAAATAAATATTTCTTACAGTTTTAACATTTACATACTGATTATATACCCTATTAGTTTAGATACTCTGTCTTGTTTTAAAAGGATAGATCTCTCAGAAGTACTCTTTTAAATGTTACATATGTATCAATAGTCGATAGCTTATTTATTATATTTATATATTTTAACATATTTGACAGCAGATTCAGTTATATATTAATTTCGTTTTAAAAATAAAAGGTTTTAAAATTGTGTTTGAGTGAGCTGTCAACATTGCAGGGTGCGTAAATGTAATCATAAGGCAAACATAGATACATATATGTGTATTTCCTTTCCAATGAGAATTTGAGTACAGGGCTGTTGATAATGTTTTTTTGTTTTTTTTCCAGTGTCATAAACAAGATGGATAATGTATCAAACAAAACTCTCTGTAACCTTTCATAAAATGTCGATTTAACGGGTTTCAGAAATTATAAGCATCCTAGGAATACAACTAACCGTTTCGAAATGAATTGATTTAAAAAAAAGATTTGATGAGACCAAATTACCGAATTCGCGGTTATAAAATGTTTGAAATAGGCAGAATGTTTAACTTAACAGAGAATGTATAGATAAATACCCCGAAATGAGATTTATGTAGACACAATAATTTAAGTTATTAGTGAGATATAGTGTACGTTAGGAAAGAAAGAATGCAAGATAGGGAGGAAACAGTGTGATTATTTATGTATCAAACGAAATACAACTATAACGTTTTGATACATGTCTACATCATTTAAATGAACAGGTTCCTTCAATTAATTATGTATGTGTAAATATTTTATTATAATATAAAGGCGTACCAGAATATCAGTTATTTATCAGATTGTCTTGTTTAAAAAATCAAATATATATATATAAAGACAAACTTAACAAGATATGTTATATTCATTAATATACATAAATAGGGTGTGATTCAGATAACATGCATCCTTCTGAACCACCTATTTAAGCCTTCGATACATATGCTGTCTCTCCTTTTAATTAGGTTTTTACCCCACTCAGCATTAAATGCAGATTTAGTCCTTGTGTGTCAATATCACGTATATAAAAATATATTATTTTCCCTTTGTCCCTATACAATAATATATATATATATATAATACAATATAACCATATATTTAAAAAAGAAACAAAAAGCGATCAAAAGTATTTGTTTAATTTAATAAGGGTAGCATGGCATCGTTTTGACATATAAAGTAAATCACCTGTAATGCATGTATCTGTGCATATTTTAACGACCTTGGACTCTGACACAGTTCGCCTTGAATAATTTACTGTCAAACTTGTTTATGTGAACATTTACTAAGTCTCTCATGGATTACATTTGAATGTGTTAGCATTAAATTTCGCATGTTAGTCATAATATGTAAATAACAACATAAGTATGCTCTTCATATGTCGAATCAGTCCTCCCTGGATGTGACCATTTGTATCATTACCACAGGTTGATGGATTCTATTGCACTAAGATTTATACCACAGGCGTATCTAGACAGTTTGGATATGCGACAATATTTGCATGTATACACATTGTGCGGTCTAGACATGGGCTAAAGTGCATTCTGTTAATGTGGAAAACTCCAGCGCCTACTTAATCAGTTTTAATTATAAAAACATAACCATTTCTTCAAGTTTTCCGTGACATATATAACCATAATTTGAGTTAAATCATAATATATAGGTTATATATATCCCAAAAATCCTTACTTCCAGAGATATTTTCAGTTATTTGAAATAGTATGATAAGACTTGTGTTTGAAATTTGCGTTTTAAATTTCGTTAAGCTAACTATGCTACGTGATATGCGCTTGCAGACTGTAACGTGATGTACTCGATAGCACAGACATGTACCATATCATATAAAAAACTAAAATACGCAACGTCTAATACACATCCTTACACACAAGTCCGTATAGCAAAGGATAAATATTTAGTTTTTATATATTTTTACATTGATAATCAATACAACAAATAAACATGATATATATTACCCTATACATCATTAAGTAATAGCTACATAAGAAACCTCATGTCACGTAAACATTCATTTTTATTTTTAGCAAAATGATTCTCACAAAACGATGTTCTCTCAGCGGCTTACATTTAGTTTCAATAACAAATTTATTTATTAAAAGTACTTACCAAACTTAGATATATATGTCCTTGATATATGTATATATAAAATGTCGATATCATCTTTTATTATTCAAACATAGATTTTTTACGGTGTCACTTCAATGAAATGTCTGTATCAAGCCAGACACATGTGAGCTCTACCTGTGAAACTACCTTTATCATTTCAAATGATGCCTACGTTAATCATACCACTCGATATACTCCAGTGTGATTAATGATCTTATAATAGCATGACTTATATAGTAAAGCTTGGTCATGTTAATGCATCATGGC